TTTAATTAAACAAGTACAGAAGGGTTATCAGCTAGCCTGCCTCACAGCCCCCAAGGCAGCATCAATACTAACTGCTTGTACAGCTGTTTCTGAAAAACTCAAAAAAGTTATGTATAAAGTGACAGTTCGCCCACTCTGGGACTCTTAAGAACCCTGCTGCCTTTGCAGCACACTTTATATCATTCATCTTTCCCTCCAGTTAAACAAACACTAATCTCTTCACAATTAAATCAGGTCTAGTATTGAAAACCTTATTAGTGCTCTCAAGTGTCTTTTATCCCTTTATATTATTCCTTATATGTTAATAAGCTAGTAACACATTCGTAACCCAACTTGCAACTGGACAAAAGAGCTCAGCAAATTCCTATAGGCAGGTAGCAAACTACTAGAAGAGACTGATGTCCCTCGAAATCTAGCTGCACATCTTCCCTGAATATTGTCACTACAAAAAACAAGCTTTTATTAGCTATTAAACTGCCAACACAAGATTTTGCAAGAAAAAAATAATTCAATAAACTTTCTATTGGGAGCAGTTCATTGCAATAGCACTGGCAAAAGATTTAAATGAAAATACTATTTCAGAAACTTGGTTATATCTAAACACTATATGTGTTTGAAAACAATACATCAGAATATAGGAAAAGCCAAGTATAATTAGCTGTTAAGGAGACAAGGTAATTTTAAAACCAATAGAAGTGTGAATATAAAAAATGAAATTGTTTTGCTGCCATTACTTTTTCTGTCATGGCTTGACAACTTCCCCACATAATTATCATCTATATTAATAAAACAAAAACATAAACTCTACACAAACATATAAAAAGGTATCCCAAACACTTGCCTTAATGTATTTTTCAAATCATTTTATTCAGAACAAACAGAACTAAATGACAGTACTGAAAAGATGAAAAGACAGTCAGATGGAGAGTAAACAGTACCAGACCTCACAGGTGACACATTTTCATATGGGACAAGAATGAACATTGGAAGCAGATGGAACATTTGAAGCCCAACAGTCACAATACAGAGGAGCTTTAGGAAAAACAAAATTACAGCATGTCACAAAGGCGTTTTTGTCATTTGTTGGTTTAAATACCTTTAGACTATACAGTTGTTACAGAAGTTTGTTTGGGATCCCAGCACTACATTTCAGTGCTTCCTTAGAAAGATCACACACCCTTGTTTATTCCCTGTCTCCCTTTTTCACCTGCTATACTTCTCTCCCACAAAAGTTAATTGTTGGCTTTCTAGAGTTCACAAGAAGTATTAAAGGCAGCTCACTACCTAGCACATAGGTAACTGTGTATTCATGCTGATCATTCAGTCCTGTTTATATAGGTAATTAAAAAGGAACACATATTAACTCAAGAGAATGTCCAGCGTCCCCAAAACAGAAGCAATGGCTGCAGAAATGTATGACTGCAAACCGGAGTGAATACTATCAAGAGAAGGGGATAGAGGACACCTCTGAGTTGAGTTTGGGAAAGCAAATTAACTTATTTTCAGGTTTTGCTTAGTATTGTAAACATAATTTTTAATTATTATTGCTAACATCTACTAAAAGTATTGTTAATAGATGGTTTCTCTTGAAGTTCATACATGAATTTACATAAATAAAATGATTAATTCCATTTATGCCACATTTCCCCTAGAAATTACAGTATCAACTGTATTTAATAAGGTGCTGTAGATTAAAGTTTATAAAAGTTGTTCTACTGTTTAGCTCAGTATGAATTACATTATTAAAAAGTTAACAAACAGATTACATTACTTGATTAGAAACACTATTTCAATTAGAGGAACTTCAACTAGAGCTAGTATAGACAAAAGCTACAGCTCTTCCCCTTTGCACAACGTTTCAAGTCTACATATTTGCATCTTCCTGTTGTTTAAATGCTCTCTAGTATTATGCTCAGATCACTCAATATTTGACCATTGCATTCCTCAATAGAAGACTGATTCTGATAGAGAACTTCAAGTTCCACTACAATATAAACATGCTTATACCATGTGCAACAGCTTGTGTATGTACACAAACATAAAGCCATTAATGACAAAAACAAATTCATAATAATTATGCATTTAAAAGCAATCTTTTCTATTTCAGTAATTTTGTTATTTCAGAACTCAGTGCTTTGAGATTATGACGTATAGCTTTGCGGAATGACGAACAAAAGGGTGGTAGTATGCTCTACACTAGGCCCTGCCAACTAGGCAGGTAACACCTTCCCTCAAACCAAACAATCCCCTTCAACACTTACAGCCAGTACCTCAGAACAGTCAGTCGGGAAAATGCCTAGTTTCAAGAGGCTGTAATCAATAAGAACACCAGTTGAAGAACAGTTGAAACTGTTGCCATAATGGATGAGCATGAACTATAGAGATGAACACCTCTTAGAAAACTTCTCCTCTCCTTACAATACATGAAGTTTTTCATTGCTATTGGCATGAGCCTATGTTGTCTTCCAGCTTTAAAAGACTGTGTACACTGTTAGTGAGAAATTGAGCTTTGAGTAATGAATCTTAAAAGATTATTACTGTGTCTTCACAGGAAAAGAGAAAAATGCTTATGTAGCAACGACTATAAATAGAATGTGATGGTTGGATTTCCAGATTCAGCAGACAGTGTTTGGTTTCGCAGAAACTATATATAAATATTACAAGTATTATGATTTAAAGAAGTTACATAAGTTCTCCAAATTGTTCCAAAAATTACTGGGATGAAATCTCTTTTGAGAATTTTTATTTTACTTATTTTATTTTTCTAAACCCAAACCACAATCTTCCAGCACAGGAAAGACTATTTCTTCTTGGACTAACTTTCTTTAGTAACTTTCCAAGCCCATGGCAAAAGTAATGGATCACTTAGGACTTACATAGTTCTAAATTTCTCAGTTTTAGCTGCATACAAAAGAGGATTTAAATCACAGAAAGTAATTTTTAAGCTTGTGTACTTGAATCTCTGCTTTTATTCTCAAGTCTTCAAAGATTTAAGAGCAAAAAACCAACAGGTTTCACAGTACAATAATTCTAGTTTCTGGGTTCTTAGTAATGGCCAAAAATGGTATGGCCTTGCCTACTAAAGAATGGGAAGGAGAAGAGATTCAGGAGATGAAAAGTATATGGGAACTTATCCAGACTTTTGATTTGCGCCAAATTTAATTCAAAAGAACAATCACTACTATTTTGCATAAACTGCATACTTATGATTCCAGGTTTCTGTAAGTCTGTAAACAGTTAATATTTCAATAAACCCATAACATTTTAAAACTGGGAATGCATAAATACATTTTGTTTAGGTCCCTCCATTAGTTATACTAATCTTTTAGCCATACACCAGGACTATAGATGCAAAGGATCATTATTTTTTATAAACAATTAGATTATATAGCTGCTGTAAAAATTTCAAAGGAATTAGGGAGGAAGAAATGTATTGTTAAATATTATTTCCATTTAAAAGGCAACCCTTTTTTTAGTTTATCTTGCAATGACAGAAATCAGAATAGAATATATTCATCCACTTAAGTGAGTTGTCCCAAAATGAAACAACCCTGATTTAATATAGTACAGTATATAGTAAAGGTTTTTGTATCAGTTTTTCATTCCCATCTTTAAAAATCTGACTCTGTAAGAAATACTGATATGTACTCCATAGTAACTGTTAGTTTTTAAAATTAACTCAAAATGCAATCATAATCACCCATCTTCACAATTATATTCCTATTGCAATCAGCTTATTGAAATGCCCATGTTAGAACAACAAATACATTCTGAGACCAGAATTCAAACAGCAGCAGACTGTACTGTGTAGAACGTATTTACACACATGCACACCCACATGAACAGTTTCCTCTTTTAATAAAACCTTTAATTAAATGGAGTATTTTTCCCAGTTAATTACTTGATTTCCCATAATGTCATGTGCCCATAAGACAACCAGGCATATATGCTAACTATGACAACAAAAACTCTGCAAAATCTCACCTCATCATTAACAGTGTAAAACAAAGAAAAAGAGCACAAGCAAAGTCTTGTAGGTTGCAAAAGCTGGCATTTAAAGCCAAATGTTAAAACCCTTGCATCTTGTCTATTACAAATTTCAGTTCTTCACATTTATAATTATTTTTTAATTCCGTTTGATACTACACAAAAAACTGCAGTTTTCAACTATACACAGTATAACTTACATAGACAGTGCAAAGGCAAAAAATTTTAGAGAAGTTAGTAAATTAATCCTAGCACCTCTAATACAAGACTAAGCAAAAACATGTATTTCAAAATAGCGTTTCTTAGGATTAGATGGACATAAACTATGCTTTGATTTGCACAGTACAGTTCTATAGTATGCTGGTGGTGCCTAACACCCCATCCCCCACATCTCCCACCACATCATAGTAGGCTGTCTCTAGAGCTTCCAGATGCATTTTGGCAGGTTTTTTGAATGCATATGTTCATGACTGGATTTTTTAAAATCTGTTTTTATTTCCAGCACAAACAAAAGCAATAACCTTTCAGCAAAGTTCAGCCCCACACTTTTTCCTCAGCATTTAGATGTCTAAACATTCTTTCCAGTCCTGTCTACATAATGTTTTAGGGAAACCAACATAGTAAATTCTGCCAGTCAATGCAATTGTAAACAAAACTTGTAAAACCTCATCCCAACAAGAAGAAATATCAAAAATTAAACTTACAGATTTAACACACATACACACTCACAAAACAGGGAACAACAAAAAACTGTTTTGTAATATTAGCTATAGCAGGCACATAGCTTCCAGTGGACCACATAAAGCTATTAGAAAACTAATACAAAGAGTCACTAATTCTAGCAATAAAATCAGAGATCATTGATTTACTAAAACCATTTAAGACAGTGAACATAAACTTCTAGGCAAATATTACTACCTATATTTATGTCTGACTGTACAGCTACATACACAGTAAATATTAGAAATAATATTCAACATGATGATATTAGTCACTAGATGTTAACTACTTACTATTAAGAGCCATAATATTGTCTGTTCCTGGATGATGGAAGTTTATCCCCATACGCCCTGCAATGTAAACAAAAGCTATTTTTAATGTTTTTATTTCAAAACTGAATTAAATTAATTAAAATGAAAAATTGCTAAAGGGGATGAATGTCAGGGTGGCCGATTCTTCCATCTACTGAAGATAACTTCCTAAAAATACATATTTAAGATATTAACACCGTAGTACCTTTAGTGCTATGCACTTAGAATACTGAAAATCACAAAATAAACAATGAAATAAATATTTTCAATACATCCCTTTCCTTTGTACTAAGAAAGTATTAAGTTTACCCTTTCAAAAGAAGGCCTCAAAGCTCAATCTTGCTGCAGTTATGCCATTTATAGTAAGCTTCAATAACGAGCACAGCATTACAAAACTCCACTTAACTGGTAAAAATAAAACACCATCTTCCATACTACCTGTGACACCAGAAGCTCTCACATTAACAGATCGTTGGAGACAGCGCTTATACCGTTTTTGTATTCTTCCCTAAGAAAATGCTATTGCTTACTATTTGAGATAAGATACTGGGGTTGGAAGGACTGTTGTTCTCATGGAGTACATTCACATATACTTTGAAAAATATTTTTGACCCATAATATGGGACCATCATATACAGAAGGTTGACCATTAAATTCAAATGAACTCTGCTGGTGCCAGTTTCCAGGAAAACACAGAGATTAAAAATAGTACCAACTCTCTCAGGTGAGATTTAACAATTGAAACCCTGGTTTAAGAAGATCTCTGATGCCTTCAGGAACTGGAAGTGGGAACAAATTCACACACGGTTACTTTGTTTCAAAGGAGACTTAGACAACTAAAACCTACTTGTACAGTCAAAGCAAGAGACGAGCCAACTCTACTACTGTTCGGTTTAGTTTAACTTTTAGGTACTATTTAACTGAGCTGAAGTATAAAATAACTTAACCTGAAGAAACTTTGTAAGAGGATTTTTAATTATACCGCCTGAAACAATTTGAAAGCTGTAATTTATATTAGTCCTTGTTTGGAAAAAGATATAAAAGGATCGTTATAGCCACATAAAAATTTATTTCAACTAAATAATGCAAGTAACTTAAGTTACTCACAAGTGTTGTAATCCATTTCATATGATCTCCATATCTCTAGATTTGTCATTAAGTTTGGGAACTAAGGAAGAAGGCAGTTTACTTTCTTCACTACATTGGCACTCAAATACGGGAACTCAAGGTATCTATATCTATCCACTCACTATACTGAAGACCCAATATAACCATTAAGTTCCTGTACGTCTGCAAAACCAAGTTTTAACATATACTTTTTGACAAAGCAAAACTAAAGCCAGTCTTCTCCAACACAGACTGCTGTGCTGTAATTAATATTCTTTCCGAACAGATGCAACATGAAGTTTCAGAACACTTCTGAAAGTAAGTCACAAGCTGTTTAAGAAAAGCAAATATATATGTTCTTCACATTATAATTTTCTCATTCTTTTTAAAAAAAGTGCTGCCACAATAAGACTATGAAGCAAATGGCACCTCCAAAAAGAAGGGTGGGCAGAAGGGAGGTAAATAAAATTTCCATTTTTATTTTCCAACTCATTGAGCAAAGCTTCTAAGAGACATCTTCATTAACTACTTCAGATTTCCTAATTACAGATATAATTCTCCTGTACATATTTTCACTTTCAGAAACATCTAAGCTGCTATTATTTCAGTTAGCACAAGCTTGTGATAAAATATTTCACAAATCTTGCCAGATCAACAATAATTCACTTTTCCTTAACAGCATATTAATGAGCATGAGGTTACAGTTATTACTTTTAAAGAGAAAAAGTATATATAATAATCTATACTTATAAACTAATACTTGTAATACAAAAAAGGGAACTTCTATGGAACAACTAGAGGAAGATTTGAATGCATAATGCTTGGATGAGCCCTTCTCTTTTCCTTTGCTGAAGCTGAAATTCTTCTGTTTGACCAGCTTCAGAAATAGAATCGTATCTGTGACATCTGGGTTTGTTTTTTTCCTTCCTCCAGGCTGTCACTGGACCAGGTGCTGCTTGTGTGACTTTTTGTCACCTGCCCTTGGCCTGCTATTTTTAAACAGTTCTTGTCAGCTATCTTTTAAGAGGAGCAGAAAATACAAAGCAGCACAAGCAGAAGGGCATGTTCTCACACTGAGCTAAGCAACAGCGTGGGATAACTCTGTGCATCTTCAGAGGTCCTCTAGTGCAGTTCTATAGAAACAAACTAATGGAACACGTTTAAAACACACCTGTATTAAAAGCATTCAAAACAGACTGGTAAGGCACCAACCATATGACAATTTGTTACGAATAAGTATATAGCCATTCATATTTCCTAAAACATTTGAGTATACTGTTGAAGCAAATTTCTTAACTGAAAAGAGAGGCCATATGCAGGTTACAAAACTGCATAATTATCTAAGGAGCAAGAAGAGAGCACAAAAAGGAAATTATAAATTATTCATTTAAAGGTGCAATGTAAAACTGTGAAATGTTATTAAGAATATGTACTTTCAAGGACATATTTGGGTTAAACACAGAAGTGACTACGAGAAAACAATAAATTTTAAGAAACTACATGTATGCTGCTTGGAGCTTTACGAAGTTTATATAAGCACATATTTCTAACTATAGTTTTAAAATGAAATCTCTGGGAAAAAAAAAAAAATCTACTTTTCAAGAATCTTTAAGCACAATAAGCAGAAACACAGAGAAGTTAGAGCACAGAAATTACAGACTCCAGCAGTTCACTTAAGTCATAAACAGGAACCCTTCCAGTAACAACATCCCCAGTACTTGTATTGCCTGTACATCTGCCATTTTCAGTTTGCCTGTCTTGGTTTCACAACTATCTACTGAGTATATTTTCAATTATGTGCTTTTATTACACACACATATTACTGCAGTTAGGCGGCAACAATAATCACTATTTTGCAGGTCTTTTCAATTCCTAATTAAAAAAAAAAAAATCCAGCTGTGTACTTTTTGCTCTTTAACCATTTCAGAGTAGAAACAAGGGTTTAATGACTCTTGTATAACCCAGGCTGCTCTTTTGCATATCTTATATCATTAAATTCCTTAAATTCTCTCTTCTAACAGCGTTTGGAGACACTTTTCTGTCTGGACTGCCGAAGTGCTCTGCTGCATGGCCAATATCATGCTTGTTATGGCAGAGAGCCCAATTCCTTCTTAGAGCACATGTCAAGTATATGCATCTTCTCTTCTGTATTATATTGCAAATAAGATTATCTTAAATGGAATTTAACTTCACCTCATTCTTTGTAGAAAAGTGTTACGATTTTTAAACAATTCTGAAATCTTCCCAATAACTTAAGGAAGCACACTCTTCTCACATAGAAATCTCTTTATTAAATCTTTAACAAACAGATAATCTGGTTTTTTCTTTTAATTGTCTAGATAATTTTAAGTAACATGAACAGTTTTGAGAAAGAATATTGTCCAAAAATAACAAACCTGTGTTATCAGGCATTGTTTTACCACTATTGCAGATTTTTTGACAGTGTTTCGTGCCAGGCTTGCCCATAGTGGTGCCCTTAATCTCAACTTTAAATCCATTATTTTTAGCAGATATCAAGCTTATGAGCACAATCTGTTTACAATAAAGTGTAAAACTGATCTTTGATTTCATCTTTGTATACATGTGCTGGTATTACCATTATGTTTCCATGTGTGAAACAAACATCAGTGATTAACCAGTTCGAGATCTAAAACTACTGTTTTTTCTTTACGAGATTTCTGAATTCATTTTTTCTTGTTATTCATTTTCTCTAAGTGCTCTACAGTTTTTTGAACCTGTGAAACCCTAATCAGCTCCCAGACATAAACACTCCATGAAGAATTTTTAAGATTACAGTTACCTATTCTCATAATTTTCATGTTACAATCAACATTTCAATAAACAATGTTCATTAGTTATATACTGAGTAAAACTTCTTGCACTGTTATACCTCATGGCTTTCACCCAGATTCACCACTTATACCAATTCAGCAATTGGTATTTGGCATAAGATTTACAAGAAAATAGCAAAGCTGGCCTGCTTCTGAGCTGTCCTGAATTTACTGGGAATGAGAACTTCCTCTCACATAGTTCTTTAGATCATTATTTATATCAATTACAAGTTATTACTAGAGACTCCAGCGGCAAGGTCAAACAAAACTGGCAACAGGACTAGGTATGCTATGCTTCCTCAGTAATAATACCTCCTTTATCATTTTTATCTCTTCTATCAAATAATTTCAAAGTTGGTGCCAACAAAAGGCATTCCAAAATAGCAATAGTTATTTGGATGGACAGGTAGCAAGCAGGGTAGAGCAAAGTTTAGAAACAAAAAAGAAAAAAGAAAAAAAAAAATTAAAGCGAGACCAGTATTCCCTCAAACATCTGAAACAAGATTGTTCTGACCCATATTTATTCAGAGGTCTAGTTTACAGCACAACCTAGCACCACCCCCCTCACACACACCCATACCCCAGCTCAGCCATGAGTCTGCTCCGTGATTCACAAATGGACAAAAAGCATGAAGCATGTACGTGCATATAAAAGAATTTTAATTGTTTTTACCTGGATAGACCTCAGACCATTCTCTCTCCTCTTCTCCCAAAAATACAGACACCTGAAGCTGATGCTACACTAACTCAACATACATGCCCAAAAGAATTTCAAAAGCGAGAACTGTGTAAGCAAGGGCCTGCATAAAGAATTATAAAAATAAAAGACAACTTCCTGAAGAAGTTTGTTGTTTTCTGTTTTCTTTTTCTTTCCCCTTCCCCTCCCTCCTTTTTTTAGGTCTATTTGCCATATGTTCACACACATAATTTAAACACCTACTTGGGACTTACATATCTTTTACACACTAACATAGTCAGCAGAACAAAAATACTTTTGTTTGCCAGAAGGGAAGTATGAAACTATTACTGTGTTTACACATATATATTTTTACTGTGCAAATACATATTGTGGCAATGGGAACAGAAGCGTATAATTATCAG